GGTGTAGTGGTGCCGTGTTACCTGTAGGAGGTGTAGTGGTGCCGTGTTACCTGTAGGAGGTGTAGTGGTGCCGTGTTACCTGTAGGAGGTGTAGTTGTCGTAGGATCCTACAGTGTAGTGTCTGAACAGTCTCTTGGTGCGGTCCTCTCGCGTCTCTGAAACATACATGTGTTACATATGTATGTTACATAGCACATTATTTATTAAATATATCCCATCAGATGCTGTCCATGTATTTTATGGTCGAGTAAATGAACACAAAGTTAAAGTGCTGATATATAAACAATGCTGCTTTCCCTCTGTGATGCACAGCAGCATGTTCTAAGCGCAGAGAAGACCCTGACCCTGCTGTGGATGTGTTTTTTTACCCAGTCTTGGGTCGTATTGTCTCATCTGTACTTCTTCCACACAGTCGGCAGGAAACCAGCCGGTTCGGCCTTTAACGCTTCCTTCCCAGAATCCTCCTTCACCGATAGAGAGAACTGTAAACACAGCACACACTCATTATCACCACCTCACACATGCGTTGCCTCTGTTTGAGCTCATTTTTGTGATGGAGGATTATTAATGTAGATGCAGATATAAAGTTTAAAAAAAAAAAAAAATGTCATAAACAGAAACACCTGAAATCTGAATCTGATTATAGAAGTTTTGTGTTCAGTGTTTATTTATTCTTAATTCTTTGGTCTTTGTTTTGGTGATAGTTATATGTCCTTATTGAGTTATAAAAGTCGGTCATTTAGAGTTTGTTTAGCTCCTGATTTACACTTTCGATAAGAATCATTATCCTGGTCAAACCTTTGACCCGCTCTCCTCGGTGCAGCTGGATCTCTCCAGTCCCCTGAGGGACGTGGGACCGGGTGGCGATGAAGGTGCGTCCCGGGACGGCGCTATACAGCCTCCTCTTCCTCATCTGTGGGGTCGGGGGAGGAGAGGAGGGAGGGCTGGTCTCCACATGACCTCCCCCACTTGGACTGCAGGTGAGAAAGGAGATACTGGTTTGACTACACCTTAAAGGACATCTTGTAACCAACTTTCAAATAAAATCACTGAAAAAGCATTTTATGAGAAAATGAAACAAAACAACATGTTAAATGTAAAACTGAGAAACCTGTTATATACACATGCTCAATTTGAACCTGCAACCGTTTTCAAAAATGTTGTGTCAAAAACCAGAAACGCCTAGAAAAGCTGTAACATGCTGGAATGGACCTGGATTGAACTGGATAAGCAGTCGACACGATGGATGAATCTACGGTTCATCTACAGTTCATAATGTGATCAAAAGATCTCTGTGCATAACGGATAGGTCTGAGGACTTGCAAGTAACCAATCACATTGTTGTGATGTTGTAGTTTTGCGAGACACCTGTTGACGACCACTCAGGAAGAAAATGAGAACCTGGAATCTGGTAACTCATTTGTAAAGGCACCATTAATGCTGAAAGATGTATAAATGAGCTACACCGGAGCATCTTTTAGAGCCTCATGTGCTGCTGACCAGAAGATGTATTTTCAGGGATGATCTTGCTTATTTCAGCAACACAAAGCCAGCATCCTTGTTAGTATTAGGTGAAATCATGCACATCTCATGGGTAACTTTTACATGTGTAAAGGCACCATTAATGACTCATAATTACCTGAGTCGGCGTGTGTGTCGGCGTAGCGAGTGTGTGTGCGTGTCATGGTGCGTCTCCAGGCTTTGAAGGGAGGGGCCAGGCGAGGAGGCGGGGCTTTCCAAGGCATTGTCACTGGCTGAGCGAATCAGGGAGCGAGGAGATGACAGGCCGTTTCCAGCTGTTGTCCGGGTCAAGCCCATGCGGCGGCGCTTGGTATAGGAGGGAGTTTCTCTGAAGGGAACTACTTGGACACATATATACAAACACACACACACATAAAAACACACAGAGAGTTAATATCCAGCCACTGTGCTAACATTGACACACGCACACAATTTAAATGTGTTGAAACTCACCAACGTCAGACGTTTTGTGGATTTTTATGATTTCTGCCAGATCAAAATTCCCGGCAATGATTGCCACCTGCACACACACAAGCCAGGAGTCATAAAAACACACAAACCGTAGGGTTCAAAATTAAACTCACAGCTTTTTAATCTTGTTTCCACCTGAAACACGAAACATCACAGGGGCAGATTGAACAGATTCACATTTCTGTATCTCTGAAGTTGCAAATAATTTCTGGAGATTTCCAGAGAGTTCCAGGGTTTTCAAAGTAAAATTCTCTTTCAACAAGTCTCCTGGTTAGAAAATAATAAAAACTCACAGGTACAACATGAGGCGTGAAAGCACAAGATTAAAGAGAAACTAAAGAGCCAGTGTAGCAGCAGGCATCCAATCACAGAACTGCAAATGTGTCTGTGAAGCTGAGATTTTAACATAATTATATGTGCTGATGGTTAAATGCCTTAAAGGTAGCAGTGGTATCATTTCTGGCATTGAAACAAGCGCTCCTTTCTGTTTTTGGTGGGCTAATTATTTTTTCCACTAACTGCTGTGTTTTGTTTCTGTAGCTCTAACTTTAACGTTTTTTTGACTTCCTGGCCTTTATGTCGAGCCGGGTGGATATAGTCTTGTTTGGAGTTCATTTTTTTATTTACCAGAAATAAAAGATAATAAATGCATTATATTAAATTATATATTATATTACATGAATTTAAAAGATAAATAATAAAATAATAAATAATTCTAAAAATATTTTTTACTTAAAGGCACATAATGTTCCTTTATTTGTATTTTTAAATGGTCTATGTTTCTTACTTTATAATATTGTATCGGAAATGTTTTTTTTATTAGATTTCTTTATGTTTATCTTATTTATTTAGTCTTTATTTGATTTTTATTGATTATTTTGGATATTTATTTATCATTTAATGTTTATTTTATTTGCTTTTTATTTTTGCTTCAATAGAAGGTAAAGAAAAACGACTTTGCTGTTGTTTATATTTTATTTATTAATTATTGGATTATAATTTTTGAAACTAAAAGCTCATTTTGAAGTGTAATAATTTTTTTTAAACTTATTTTCATGTGAAAGCTGTCTGGTTGTTTTTTTTTCTTTCTTTTTTTTTTTTTTTTTACTTTAAAGGCTTCTTTT